GATATGTATATACACTAAGATACCCTTCAACGTGAGTCATAATCGACTCGTCACGGGAAGGGGCGACCAGGTCTTTCCCTTCCCATTTACATTCAGCCCTCACCCGGTCTAGGCAACCGGGAGTGATTAGGCTGATATACTCCGATGCCGGTTCGCCGCGGCCCGGGACCGATGATGGGTTTTCAACCTGGAAGTCGGCAGATACCGAGCAACCAGTCGGTGTGAAAGCTTTCAATGGGGGTTCTGGTGCAGGTTCATCAGATCTAGCGGGGCTCGCAGACGAGCTTGGTCTAGAAGGAACACTTTGTGAAGTTTTCGCCATTTCTTGAAGCTTTACGAAGAGATGAAAAGAAAATACAACCAACGCAAAATTTGAGAAAGATAAGAAATGTTGAACCTGGAAGGGTCGTTTATACTTTTCCCATGAGGTGGTGGCACGAATCGCGAAGTCACAGACACGAAGCGACAGATAATTAAGAGAAGCATTAAATGCCTGCAGCAGGCGTGGTCAGAGCACTCGATGGCTTTTTCACCTGGCGTATGGCCATACGTCACGGGCATCACGTCACCGATCATATCGTTTATTATCATTACTCTCTAATAAACGAGGGGACTATCTGTATTGGGTGATACCCTTTTTTGCTTGAGCCCGACCGGGTTGGGTCCGGTCCGGGGCAAGTCGGGGCCATCGAACCCGACCTGGATGCAAGGTAGAACGACGGCCACGTCTACAACCGAGGTCGAGTCATTTCGAGACCGTTGCAGAGCTCGATATGAGTCACCACCGGATGGAGAAACACACAAGGTCGGAAGCCGGACTCGTAACGGATAACCAAGCGTCGCCGGATATCTCGCCCAAACGTGATTTTCTCAACCACTTCAGGCCATTAAGGCGTAATTACAGGGATCCACGATGTAATTAATTTACCTACCTTATTTTTACCCTTAATCAGAATGTATAAAAGGGGAGAAGACCCCATAAAGAGGGGACCGAAAAAAAACCATTACACTACAGTACCATCTCTCTAAATTCTTGTACGCTATCAAGCACAATGGTTCTAAACAATATTATATTCTGCGATTATTTACTTTAACAGCAATTGTTGAGTCTTTATCTTTATTTTCCTCAACCCAAACCTTTTGTATCTTTTAGTTCACGGATCCTTAAAACCCCATATAAATTCAATTGTTATCCGGATTCTAGGGTAAACACTCATGTTTTGGTCAACTTCAACCTCTTCAACTTGCTCAATACCTCTTGCTATACGTAGTTGAATTGGTGGATGTCGAAGTGGTATATGTGGGGGTAGCACGGATATATTATTTGGTGGTAGAGGTTGTAGGCGTTGTGGCGTGCTAGCTGGTTTTGAAGTACCAAACCTTCAACCAATTTGATTGCATGCCCCATTAATTCCGTCAAGCCATCTAGTTGCTTCTTAATTTCTTCATTGTCTCATTTAAGAGTTGTAGTTCTAAATCTCGGAATTTTAAATTTTAGATCGATTGAACATGATCCCAAACTTGCTACTTGCTTCTCCAAGAACATGATGAACAATAGTAAATCAAGACTCGGAACCTGGAACCTTTGATCTTGCATCAAGGAGGGTCAAGCAGGACGGGCAGACTTCTGGGCTGACAAGTTTCTGAAGAAAGGGTGCACATGCCATCTTAGGCGAATACCACATCGGAATGGAGAGGAAGGTGAAGACCTTTATAAGGCATGACACAAGCTCACATGCTACGCGCGCTCTTGGGGCTCGATGCTCAGAGACGTATTCAGGATTTTAGGAGGATGGGTACTATTACTTCTTTTTTTTATTCTTACTCGATGTTAGTTACCCGTTTTAATTCGTCGTTTGATTTGATTTTATTACCATGCTTGAACTTGAACGAGTAAACTATAGTTTGTATCATTATCACAAAAAATATTATTTTATTTTCATAAGTCCTTTAATAGTTTTCCTACATTGAAAATGATCAATAGTGACATCATTATTTATAGGTGCAAATATCTTAGTTTTGTGTAGCAAAATTATGCAACTATTCAAATGCAGAATGGCAAATGAAAAAGAAAAAAGGAAACTTGAAACTATAGAGATTCAACACTAAATTAGAATCTCGATTTGTTTTGAGTTTTGAAACTTCATAAATAAACCATAAAAAGAAAGAAAGAAAAGGCGAACAAATGAACCCAAATAAAAACAGGAAAATTGAAATTAAATTAAAAAATCTCAAAGAGTAAACCCAAAAGAATCTATCTATCTATACTATATTAAAAGCATGAAGGTCCTTAGCGAAATGTCGTTCGCCTTTTTTACCCTTAAAAAATAAAGTTCATATTAGACAAAATAGTAATTCAACTTAATTTCCTAATATTTAGAACTTAGTTCCTTAATCGAATAATGTATGAAGTCCTAATATTTAGGAGTTTAAAATCAATTAAGATTTTACCTAATTTAAATTATTTATAATCATTCTATATTAAGTTCTTAATATGTAAGATTTTAACATCAACTTAAATTCTATTAATTAAACGGTTTAACAAACTCATCTAACACATGCACGTACAATGATGGTAAGAAATATTGGGGAACATCATGGAAACTATTTGGGCTAATTGATATTTTTACTTTGAAACTAATTTAGATGTGAATTGCCTTATATGAATTATTTGTCTATTTTAGCAACGTGACATTATTAATTTTTTCAGGTTACAATTCAATATTTAAAATTTGGGATGCACTATATTAAGAATTTGAATCAATAAAAATTTAATGAGTTACTATAATAATAAAAATAAATAATTAAGTCTTTGAATTAATTATTAGCAAAAAAATATAATCCAATTATTTTTCAAATGCACCCATCTAATTAATTAATTTTGTAGTTAACAAAACTCCTTGGTATATACATTTATTTCCATAAGATCAAGCAAATTGGCGGTGAACAAAATAAATAAAAGAGGAATATCAATTATATAATATAGCATTAAGCGAGTAAAATTGATTAAAAATACAAACTTAAAATAATAAGAATAATAGTGGACCAAAATATATTCTAAATAAATTATAGTTAATTATTTTTTTTTCTTGCACTCATTTCATTGAATAACAACTCCTTAGTTTTTTCTTTATACAGCTAGCTAAATACAACTAATATCCTTAGAAAATAGAGTTATATTAGACAAATAGTTATTTAATTATTTCTTTAATATATCTAAAATTTTATTTAATTATTTTATAATTTTTAGGAATAGTCACTTAATTATTTTTTTAATATTTACAACTTTAAAATCAACAAAAATTGTACTTATTAGATTTTTTCTTATTTGAACTATGTCCTAATAGGACTTTAAAATCAATTAAAACTCTTCTAATAACTTAGTTTCTATTTAGGTAAAACTTCAAGCTTCGTCATTTTTCTTTTCTTCAAAAAAAACTTTCATGCATACTCTTTCTCTCTAATTAATAACCTCAAATCTTTTCCTTACCAGTAAGATTTCAAAAGATTTACTAAGTATCTTTATAAAGAGTATTACTTGAGATTCATAATATTCTTAGTTTTATGACTTACTACCAAGAATTTATGAGATTTTTTTGCCACAAATCTTGATTGATTATATTATTTGATTTTATAATGCAGCTATTTATTACTCTATTATACTATTTATTACATATATTATTTTACTATTATATAAGTAAAACTATCGAAGTGAAAAGTCAAAATTGTTCATAGAAAGTCGAACTATATCATTACCTTTCAGCCTTACATTATATTTAATGTTATACTTAACGTTTTTGTACAATGAAACAAGTAATGGAACAAAAGGAAGAATGACTAGAGCGAACCAAACTCAAACATGGTTAACATTTATAATTTTGAGGAGCTCATACTTTTTTAAATAAATTTTACATTTATAATGCAAATGTGTCTTTTGAATATATTTTATGTTACTTTTAAAAAAGCTTATTTTTATTGATACAAGGTACACGCGCATCGCGCGTATCCTAAGACTAGTAGAATAAAAAGGGGAAAAAACAGAAGAAGAAAAAGAAATAAAAATAGATAATCGGAACCTAGTAAAAATAGGTCAAAGAGTGTTAAACGAGAAAAGAACAAATGGGAAAAATAAAGAAATAGAAAAGAAAGATAGGAAACAGAAAGTAAAAGGATTTTAATTGGAAAAGGGGCATGAGTTTCGATCTCTCAACCTAGGAGTCACAGGGGCACACATTAGCCAGTGCACTAAAGTTTTCTCTTGAGCATGGTGGGCACACATTAAAATATAAGTAGATTTACCAAAAAATAACCAATGATGCACATATCCTAGGGAGAGGAGCATGGGTTCACGTGACCCGTTCCTATACCCATAGATCTGCCACTGTCGATACGGTGTAGCCCGAAAGACAAATCCGTGCGGGCCTAGACCCAAAGCAAACAATACGTTCCATGAGCTTGGTTTGTGAAAGAAGCATAATTAGTTTTTGGAATCACATGTGCTGTGTAGAAGAGACGTTAGACTCACATCCCAAAAAATAAAGTATCTCGACCAAGAAAGAGATCACAGTGCGACAGATTCATATATGATGGTTGTAATCAAAATGTCCAGTGAAAGCAAAAAAACAAATGCAGAGAAAGATTTCCTTAAACCTTTTTTGTATTTCTGCTGTGTGTATTACAAAGTATATCCTATTATATACAAAACTAGCAATGTAAAAGACAAATTATAAAAGCTGTACAAGGACAATTAAAGGACAATGTCCTGTATAATGGGACAAAGTATTAAAACCCTGATTTGTTGTTATCCATCATCTTCTAGAGAATTCCATAGTAAATGCAAGATAGCTATAATGGATCCCTTAGTCATGTATAACAGGCCCAATATATGTTTGCTTTGCTCAGGCCCAATATATGTGTGTTGTGTTTAGGCCCAATATATTCATTATGTTTACTTACCCTTTATTCTGTAGGGTTTGACCTCAAAATTATTATGTACTTGCCTCAGAAGCTTCATCTTCAACACCCCCCCTCAAGTGGGAGCCCGGAGATCGGACGCCCAACTTGCCCAAAAAATGCCAATGCAAAGGTCCGCCTAATCCTTTGGTGAAAATATCGGCAACCTGCGAGGAGGAAGGCACAAATGATAGCGAGATAAGACCATCAAGCAGTTTCTCGCGAACGAAATGGCAGTCTAATTCGATATGCTTTGTTCGTTCGTGAAACACTGGGTTTTTGGCGATATGGATCGCTGCCTGGTTGTCGCATTTGACGGAGACCGGCAGTGAAGGAGAAACAGAGATGTCGGCAAGAAGACGTACTATCAAGCGAGTTCAGCTACTAATCGGCTAAGATCGGTATTCAGCTTCCGCCGATGATAGGGAAACGACCTGTTGTTTCTTCGATTTCCACGAAATGGGACAATTGCCCATAGTCAAGAAGAATCCACTCACAGATCTGCGAGTATCCGAACAAGATGCCCAATCGGCATCACAATAACTCAGAATTTGGAATGATTGCTCCGAAGAGAAGAAAAGACCCAAACTTGGATCATTTCGGATGTATCGAAGAGCATGCAAAGCAGCTTGAAAGTGTCCGCTCCTAGGGGCTTGCATGTATTGGCTCAAAGTCTATATAGTGAAGGAAAGATCCGGTCTAGTGTGAGTCAAATAGTTTAATTTGCCCAATAATCGCCGGTATGCTGTTGGATCTGACAAAAGCTCTCCAGAATCTGCTATGAGCTTAACATTCGAGTCAAGTGGAGTGGAAACAACCCTCGAGTGCTGAGAATCAAATTCAGAAAGTAAATCAAGAGCAAATTTTCTCTGAGTCAGAATTAGTCCACTATTCTCGTGTAAGATTTCCATACCCAAAAAATAACTTGCCTCTCCTAATCTTTAATTCTGAATTCAGAATCAAGAAATGATTTAATCTCATTAATTTCTGCTTGGTTGTTTCCTATTAGGAGAAATCGTCCACATATACTGCGATAATAGTGATGAGAGTACCAGAAGATTTGAAGAATAGAGAGTAGTCATTGAGGGAGGAAGTAAAACCTCTGGTTCCCAATGCACATGACAATCGTGCATACCATTGGCGAGATGCCTGCTTTAGGCCATAGTGAGATTTGCGAAGACGACAGACATGGGAATCACTTGGTGGTGCAGCACCGGGTGGGAATTTCATGAAGACTTCTTCATCCAAGTCTCCATGAAGAAATGCGTTGTTCACATCTAATTGGTATAATTTCCAAGCTCTCTTTACTGCTACTGCCAATAGACACCTAATAGTAGTCATTTTTACCACTGGAGAGAATGTGTCCGTGTAATCAACCCCTTCCCTTTGTGTATCTCCTCGTATAACTAATCTTGCCTTTAGTCTCTCCAAACTCCCATTGGATCTAACCTTTACTTTGTAAACCCATTTGCAGGGCAGTGCTTTCTTTCCGGCTGGAAGAGGAACTACTTCCCAAGTGCCATTAGATTCTAAAGCCTCAAGTTCTTTTGCCATAGCCAGTTCCCAACCAGGATGAAGTACTGCCTCTCGGTAAGACTTAGGTTCAGTGATTTGGCATACTGAATTGATAAAATGTTGATTGGATTGTGAAAATGCAGAAAAAGAGAAAGAATGAAAGGGTGTTATAGGTGGGTTAGGAGATATAACCGTAAAAGCTGCATTACATATATAATCTGAAAGATACTTTGGTGCATTGTGCTCTCTAGTTGACCTGCGCAGCCCATCTACTGGAAGTGGTTCGCCTCTAGGAGCAGAATGATTGGAAATAGGAGAAACTAAACCTGTAGGACTAGGGGAAGAAAGTGAGGAGGTCTCTTGTGTCATACCAATTTGATTCTGAGATTCTTGGTGGGAAGAAAAGATAGGTAAATCCTCATCAACAACAGGAAAGCTTGCTGGAAATAACTTTGACATAGGTGCAGAATATGAAAAAGGAAATATAAACTCATAGAATTTGACATCTCTAGTCACAAAAACTTGATTGGACTGAAGGTTTAGAACCTTATATCCCTTTTTTCCTAAAGGATATCCTAGGAATACACCCGGAACTGCCCTAGGATGTAGCTTGTCCCTGTTTCTGTTTAGAGTAGAAGCAAAACATAAACAACCCAAAGGTCGTAAATGCGAATAATCTGGCACATTTCCAAACAAAACCTGATAGGGGGATTTGTGTTTTAGAACTCTTGAAGGAAACCTATTGATTAGGTATGTAGCTGTTAACAAGCAGTCGCCCCAATATTTCTTTGGCAAATGAGATTGAAAAAGTAGAGCTCTACAAGTCTCTAACAAATGCTTGTGTTTTCTTTCTACTACCCATTTGGTTGTGGGTTAGCAGTACAAGAAGTATGGTGTATGATTCCTTTAGAAAGAAAAAATCTGAAGAAACAGTCCCTGTTCCTAATTCATATGCATTATCAGATCTAATTACTTTAATCTTGGCTGAAAATTGTGTTTCAATAAGGGTCAAAAAGGACTTTAAAGTAGGAAAAACATTAGAATTTGAAGACAAAAGATAAGTCCAAGTAGATCTTGAGAAATCATCCACAATAGTTAGAAAATATATCTCCCCTTTGTATGTAGGAACATTATATGGACCCCAAGTGTCTATGTGAAGCATCTCAAAACAATGTTTAGATGTTATATTACTAGTTGGAAAAGGCAATTTGGACTGCCTTGCCATGGGATATATGTCACAAGGAAAAATATGTTTGTCTAAAGTATGACAAGGTATTTTCTAGATGTTCTTCATTGCATGAAAAGGAAGGTGTCCCAATCTTAAATGCCGAAGTCTCTTGGGGCTCATAGAATGAGAAATATTAATTTCATCCATAGTCATCTTCTCATTAGATGCAAAAGTATCTTTTATATTTGTTTGAACAGACTCTGGGGCAGAATTAAAAGACTGGACAAAAGACTCAGAATTGGCTAAACTACAAGTCTTCTCAAGACTTTTAGGAAAATAAAGTAAAGATCCTGAACAAGTAGGATTAGACACAGACACACTAGATTTTAATGAACCATCTTCCAGCAGATAGATTCCTGCATTGGCTTCACCAAGCATCATTTGCCTCTATAGAGAAGGGGCCTGCACAAAACATCCAATTTTAGAAAAAATGACAAGGCAGTTTAGTTGAATGCACAACTGGTTAACAGAAAGAAGATTATGTTTAAAGCTAGGTATATAAAGAACATTGTGCAATTGAAATTCTGGTGAGAGAGAAACACTTCCTATGTAATAAACTTTGACCACATAAGAATTTGGCAATTTCACTTGAATAGGAACAGAGAGAGCTCTCATGTTTCTTAACTGCGTTTTATCAAATGTCATATGCTGGGAAGCCCCAGAATCTATTATCCAATATTTAGATGTGTGAGTAGTAAAACAAGAGATATAGTTGTAGCAGGAAGAACTTTTACCCACAAAGTTAGCACTGGCATTGGCATCAGTACCTGAACCTTTAGAGGTTCCAACTTGCATAGCCTGTAACATGTGGATCAGCTGCTCACATTGTTCTTTAGAGAACCCCTGTGTGCTTATCATAGCAGGTACATTCCCTCCAATGCCCACTGTACCACCCGAGCTTTCGCCTTCCTCAACAGTGGCAATATTAGCTTGAGTGTTTCCATAATTTCTCTTAGGTTTGGTGCACTTAAAGGACTGTGGATATATCCAACCAATTTGTAGCACTTTTCCTTGTTATGCCCTGGTTTCTTGCAATATGAGCAAAGTTGATTGTTTCTCTTTCCTTCATTGCTGAAATTTTGGTTATTTGCCCTGTATTCAGTATTGCGTTTCTGTCCATTCCATTTTGGTGCATTAACATTGAAGACACTAGATTCAATGCACACTTGGCTTGCAGAATGGACCTCCCTTTGAGTTTCTTCATGAAGAATGATAGAGTAGGCTTGTGCTGTAGAAGGTAGGGGCTTCATCATGAGAATGTTTCCCCTAACACCCGAGTATCCTTCATTCAAACCCATGAACTGGATTAACTTCTGATCCTCATTCATTTTGTGGTTGTGACTCTTGGCTCCACACTTACATTAACAACTGCAAGTCATGAATGTATTAAGAACTTTCATTTGGTCCCAAATCCTTTTGAGTCTAGTAAAATATGCTGCAACATCACTGGTGCCTTGTGAAATATTGTTGAGTTCTCTTTGCAGCTGAAACAACTTAGCACCATCAGCCTGTCCATATCTTTGCTCCAGCTCACTCCAAAGTTCTTCAGCAGTTTGAGAGTAAATTACACTCTCAGCTATATCTTTGCTCAAAGAGTTCAGCAGCCATGCAATGACCAAGTCATTGCGTCTTCTCCATTGTTCAAACAGAGGTGAGTTTTCTTCTGGGATTTTGCAAGATCCCTTTATAAATCCCAGCTTGTTTTTAGCAGAAAGTGAAATCAAAACTCCCCTCCTCCAGTTTTAATAACTGCTTCCATCAAAATTAACATTAATCAGAAGAGTTCAGAAAATAGGGGTGAGATCCATCCACTAAGATCCATCCACTAAGCTTGTAGCGGCAACAAGATTAGTTCCATCAATGGGATTTGGAACAGTCCCTGTGGAAGCTGTTCCAGATGAAACATCAGATTCAGAGGGGACTGCCATAACAACTCAAAGGGAAAAAAAAAGATCAGAAAAGAGAGAAGAAAAAAATGTGTATCTGTGTATTAGAGCTCTTGCTCTGATACCATGAAAGCAAAAAAACAAATGCAGAGAAAGATTTCCTTAAACCTTTTTTGTATTTCTGCTGTGTGTATTACAAAGTATATCCTATTATATACAAAACTAGCAATGTAAAAGACAAATTATAAAAGCTGTACAAGGACAATTAAAGGATAATGTCCTGTATAATGGGACAAAGTATTAAAACCCTGATTTGTTGTTATCCATCATCTTCTAGAGAATTCCATAGTAAATGCAAGATAGCTATAATGGATCCCTTAGTCATGTATAACAGGCTCAATATATGTTTGCTTTGCTGAGGCCCAATATATGTGTGTTGTGTTTAGGCCCTATATATTCATTATGTTTACTTACCCTTTATTCTGTAGGGTTTGACCTCAGAATTATTATGTACTTGCCTGTACTTCACAAAAGCTTCAGAAGCTTCATCTTCAACATCCAGCATACATATTGGTCATTATCTTCTGAGTATTTTTTTTTCCTGGTTTTCCAACCAATACCCCTATTGGGGCCTCGACTTATTCGAATTTGCACCCCCCTAAGGCCCATTAAAGGGGAAACAAAAAAACAGTTAAGTTAAAGAATGAAGCTCCTGCACACTTCACTTTTCGTTGGAAGGAATTTCACCACAGAATTTGTCTCGGAAATATATACCGCTTTTGTTAAAGTCCAACAACTAGAATCAAGTATGAGTTAACTCAGGGCAAGGGAAATATCTATCCAGCTAATCCAAGTCACCAATGTTAAAGAGTTGGACTTTCATAGATGAATAAAATATAAACCCATTTGACAGAGTCAAGTATCATAAATGAATTTTCCTTTAAAGGCAGTCAAGCTTAGTATTCTCCTATTTAAGGTAGCCACAATCGCTCAACCATATGCGCTCATCCTCTAGGTTTATGCAGTCCCATTTCAAAGTGTTCAATTAAACTCAAGAGGTCACAACTGAATTGGGTTACTCAGTCTAATCTAACCTTACGTGCCATGACACACACACTAAATAATCTTGCACATGTAACCTACAGTTCAACAGTTGCCCATACGGAAAAGGGTTCAAAATCCCCCTAAACTATTGGAAAAGGTTTAAAAATACCCTTCATCCACCTATTGGTCTAAAAATACCCCTCCATCCACCTTTTTGGTTCACTTATGCTCTTTGACCGTTATGTCAATGCTGAATTAAAAATAATTATCATTCTTTTTGTAAAACATAAAAAAAATACATTTTACAGAATATTTTCTTTTTTTAAACTAATGCACCAGTGGTCCCACTAATTTAGCAAAGTTTTCTTCTTCTTTTTTCCAGTTTTTACAAAAAAACAATTCAGTTTTTACCAAAAAAAAATTGACCTTGAAACAACAACGATTAATTACTCAATTTTTCTTTTTTTTTTTTCATTTTTTTAAAGCATTTTTTTAATGTTAAAACTGAACAAAAAATTGTAAAAACAGAAAAAAATATTTTTAATAAAATATTTTCTTTTTTTAAAAACTGAAAATAATAATTTCAACAAAATATTTTCGTTTTTGTAAAATATTTTTTTTTTCAGTTTTTTAAAAAATTGAAAATATTTTTTCTTTAAAAAAAATTGAAAGATGAAAATAAAACGGAACGCTTTAAAAAAACTGAAAAAAAAAATATCTTTCAAAAACGAAAATATTTTGTTGAAATATTTTTTTCAGTTTATAAAAAAAGAAAATATTTTATTAAAAACATTTTTTTCAATTTTTACAAGTTAAAATGCTTTAAAAAAACTGAAAAAAATAAAAATAATTTTATTTTTGTAAAAGCTGAATTGTTTTTCGTAAAAACTGAACAACAATTGTAAAAACAGAAAAAAAATGTTTTCAATAAAATAT